GCTAAATATTTATTGAGTTTATTATTTGTCAGATAGTATTTCAAGGCTTTTAGAAGCAGTAACTCATCTAATCTTCACTACAATCATATGAGGTTAAGAACTGTGCTTACTGCTCTAAAATGAAGTATTTTATCTAATCCTAATGACATTAGAAAGTAGTTTGAAGCAGGGTGGGCACACCTCAGTGGTAGACCTCATGCTTAGCATGCAGGAGGTCCTGGGTTCAATCCTCAGTATCTCCGTTAAAAAAAAATAAAATAAATAAAGGACCCATACCTATTTTCCATTGGCTCAACTTAAAAAAAAAGTGGTTTGATTATCCTCATAAAACAGATGACATGACAAATAGATGTGAGTATTTCTGTGAACATATAAAGCTATTTTCTTGAAATAAGCTTTTTTGAGTTGGAGGGGAAAAGAAGAGTAACATTAAAGTTCCCATGTTTCTTATCCTTTTGCCAGACAACTCTTTTATCATTGGAATGCTTCCATTCCTCAGCAAATACAAATGAAGTTCCTATCTCCTTATCATCTCTCAAACCTGTTATTTTTTGCATATAGTATTCTGCTCTCTTCAACACTTCTAATTTTTAATAAGATACTTGTTAAAGGTTTGTTCACCCACCAGACTGAAATTTTATAAGGGAAAAGTTAATGTCTACTGTATTCACTACTGTATACCCAAATCCAATACTGTGTTCAATTAATACCTGTTGAATAAACAAATGAATGAATCACCTTTTCTTTCCATTCCCACTGTCACCTTAGTTTAGGTTTACCTAACTGCAAAGCCCTGATTCCTCTTCTAATCTATTCTCTGTACTGTAACCAGAATTTTTCCAAAATGCAAATCTTTGGGGCAAATATCTAGGAATGGAATTTCTGGATCATACGTTAAGTGTATATTTAACTTTATGAGAAAAGTGGTTACACAATTATGCTCACAGAAGGTAGAAACTCAGATAATTGCACATCAAAAGCAATGAATTTTACCATATATGAATATAAGAGAATAAACTTTTTTAAAACTTAAAAGTAGATTTGATGCCATGTTCATGCTTTTCATATTATAAAGGGGATATCAGTTTCAAAACAGTAGATCCCTCCCAATGACCAATTGGCGTGACTGTAAAGACACAGGGTAGGGGTGTGGCAGGGGGAAATCTATGTTAAAATGTTAAAAATAAAAAACCTATCATCACTGTACTAGGACTTAACAGATTTTAACTAATTTTCAAAAGCAGACTGCAACTGAATTAAACCAGAGCAAAGAAAATTAAGATTGCTAAAACACTGGAGAGAAGGATGCAGTGGCAACTGGAACCATTCTCAGCAGAGACCTAGAGAAGCTTTAAGTTTCTCTGCCAGTACAGAGAAAATGAGACTGTTCTGTGGGGCATCAAATCATATGAGATAAATGGAGTATTCATTAATACACAATCATAACCTGATGAATGCTGGTGAATCACTGTCAATCTTTAGACTAGGCTTCTTAGACAAAGCACTTCTACATATAAATAGTAGTAACTTCTAAACAAATAGTTACAAAACAAAACTGAATTACTCTAAACCTTGAGAGTAAAACAGTTACAATACAGCTAAAAAAAGTCAAGAGGAAGAAGGCAGAGGAGGGTAGGTAACTGTAGGTGAAGCTAGTTAATTAGCATATAAATAAGCTACCTTCATTGTGAAATTATATAGTGGATTATCAAAAGATCTTTTGACATTGATATATCAAGAAATAGAGATCTAAGTACATTATTTAAACACTGCCACAAGAAGAACCGAAATTACATAATTACAAAGGTCAAGAAGATTTAGAACAGGAAACAGCCTATGTATGCCAAATTTCCCTTGACCTATAGTGGGGAATACATACTGTTTGAAGTTGATAAATTAAGACACAGGAATATGAACAAAGTAATTAGCTGTATGATCAGAGCCACATTAGCGGCAAAGTAGGAAGAGGCTTTTACTTCTCATCTTAATACCATCTTCTACTGTTTTTGTTGTTGTTTTGTGGTTTGTTTTTGTTTTGCTAAGTGTAGCATGCTTATTCCGTTAATTCAAGAGATAGAAATTATAAACTAAAGAGTAACCACCCTGAAAGGCTCCTTTGGGTCCTAAAGGTGTTCGCACATAATGGAAGACGTTCCCCACATTCTTCCATTATCCTCGACTTCACGGACTACCCAGCTTCGCTACTAAAGGAGGAATAACCCGCCCCTTCAGTTTTGCCCCAACTCGGACTCTACTCCCCTACAAAGCGCTCCCGTCAAAGTCCCCTAACTGTTAGTGTCTACCACCAGGCTAGCAGCCACTGGGCTCAGGGACTTTGTAGCCAGAGCCAAGCCACAGAATCTGCTCGACTACTAGATTCATCAACCAGTGAGGTCCGCAAAACGGCAAATCACCCCAGCGCCACCATGCTCAGACTCCCCCGCTCAGCGCCGCCGGTCTGGGCGTCCTTACACTCCGAGGTGCGTGTGCGACACGATCTTTCCGCAGGCTGTGGTCGCCGGGCCTGGCTCGAAGCCGAGCGCCTGCAGATACATCCAGAGATGCTCCTTCTCGAAAGAAGTGACCCAAGCCGAGCTCATCTTGGCGGGAGGCAAGGGCCCAGCAAAAGAAGGCGCAGGCTCAAACGACTCAGAGGGCCCCTCAGGCTCCCTCCCTACGGGCAGCCTGAGGTGCCGGCGGCGGCGGCTTCTCCATTGCCAGCGCCTGCTCCTCTCTCGCCCGGAGCCATTTCGCCTCAAATGGGCTCAAATGCCTCAAATGACCTGAAACTATGAAGTATCGGGAAAATGGAGCCTCTAACAACAGTACAGCACAACCGCCAAAGAGAAGCCACCACAAACCGAGTCTCCCGCGCTTCCGGAAGAGCGGTCTGCGCCGGCGCCGACGGGCTTCCTGGGGAGGAAGGACTTCCTCGGGAGGAGGGACTACCTTGGAGGACTATGTCTCCCGCCATGCAAGGCGCCTTTCTCTCGGCTCCTTCCGGTCATGACCAGCCGAGAACACACAAGACCCACAGGTCATTACGGGACCGGGGAGTTATTTTGCGCTGGCGTAACAGCAAGCAGGATCTTGCGGGCTCGTCGGGCTTCGCGATTTCTCTCTCTTTTTTTTTTTTTCTGATCTTTATGGTTCTTTTTGCTTGTATAGGCCTACTACGTCAGGTAAAACCCATAGACTGTTGTTTACTATAGTAGAAAAAGCCCTGGATTTTATCCTCAGGTGTTCTCACTAGTTGTGTTACCCTGAAAAAGTCACCTAACCTCTGAGCCTCAGGTCTATTATTAACAAAATCTTCCATGCCCTTAAGTGCTGAATGTTCCTTTCATCTTGCTCTAAGAAATCTGACTCTCCCCTAAGCACACACCTTTCCCCTGCAGCCCTCTCAATTAATGACTGTGTTCTCCCCCACATGTCATATACAATAGCACCTGGAAGTGGGGTGGGTATCATGCTTATTTCTCATTGCCACCTCTGGCAATTATTGCCTCACTAAAACCACCAGCTCCTTCGAAGTTTATAGTATCACCCACAACTGTTCCTTGTGGAGGTTATGTGTAATATCTCCAGGTTGCTAGACCTCATTGTGAGATTTAGCACTTAATCCTCTGTTTCTCCAATATTACTCATGGGATAATTTTTGGTGGTTTCAATATCCATGTATTATATCCACCTGTCCAATACGCTGGCCTCTAATTTCCTCTACCTCTTCTCAGCATTCTGGCCCCTTTCTCTTTCTGCCAGATTTATCTGGCAGAATCCAAATCCTTATTAAATCCAGTTCTCTGACTACTCCATACCTGCAGCTTAGCAGCTAAAAGCAATTATGATGCCTGGTATTACCCAAAATTCATGACAACTCAAGTAGGCTCTTGGGCCTGTCCTCTCCACCCTACTATTTTCCTCAAATCTCACTGTCTATACAATTATACTTCTCTTCTTCCCTCCGTTAAACTTCCAATACCTCCTTTCTACTCCTCACTTACAATGATGTCCTTTGTTCTTAGTTGATAGATACTTCCAAAAAAGAACTTTCATCAACAGTTTACCAATATCTTTGCCCACAGTCTTCTTTATCTCTTGTTAATCTGGGTGAATCAAGGTGTGCCTGCCTAAAACCAGTCCTCTCACTCATTCGATGGACTGAATTCCTCTTCTCCAACACAAGGAGTTTGCACCAGCATTTGTCCTCGACATGTTTAGGTGGGGCACAAACAATAATCCTGTAATGAATGTCACCAGTGAGGTTGTATATATATATAATGATATATTTGGATATTTAAAAGGGTTCATATTTGATAGAGTTCAATCAATTGCAACCATTATCCTTATTGAAGTTCAAACTTTCCCATCTTTAGTCAATGGGAACTCTTCAAATCAGCTTCATCTCTATCTGAAATAGCAAGAAGTTCAAGGCTCATATTACACGTTTCCTGCCTCAGATATGGAATCTGCCATTTCTCCAAGAAGCCCTGATTTCTTTTGGTGGGAAAAGGTATTTCTGAACTCAATCTGGGCAGCAGGGATGCTCATCACTACTGGGTTGGTTGTTGTTTCTACAATTTACTTAACTAATAATTATTTAATGCTGCTCTGTGCCAGGCATTACTCTAAACTTTCTAATTTATTTATTCTTTGTAACAAACCTACTATTATCCTTATTTTACAGATGAGGAAATTGAGGTACAGAGAAACTAAGTCACTTGTTGAAAGTCACACAGCTAGTATGTGACAAAGCCAAGATTAGAACCCAGAGTCTGAACCATCATGGTATGCTTCCTCCCAGTTGACCTGTTTTTAATCATATGCCTCTCCACTAGGCTAGGGAAAAGCAAAAAAAACCTTGACCAGCAGACTCATTGGGACTTCCCCACTCCCAAACACACAAAAGTTCCCTTACCAGAAAAAGCAGGGATGAATTCTGGAAGGAAAAAGAAAGTCCACTAAGTCCACTATATCAGTTTAAAAAAAAAAACCACTGATTCAAGATTATACAGCCCATTTTTTTATTATAGGCATTTCAATGATTAAACTTTGAAGAATTGTATAAAATAATATATGGTGCAGAACTAGAATCTCTTACAAAAGTTTGGATCCATCAGTGTTTCATTACAGTTAAGACCAAGTAGCCAAAAAATAGATTAATCCCTAAGCCACAGGAATAAGCACATGGGCAAAAATGAGGCTTAAAGTGACACAAACTGTGTGTTCAGCAAAAGATTTTTCTTGTTAGTTTTTCAACATTTTGCCCTGAGCGGGCTCAGAGCCATTGGCATGTGAATGATCTGGTCCATCTTCCTCTTCCAAAGGTATAACATCTGGAATTTCATCATTCTCAAATGTCAAGTCTATGACAGTGAAATCAAGTACCTGTAAAAGAAGAATCTTGGATATTCAAACAAACACTAATGAAGTGAACTGTTAAGTCCAAGTGACCTCTTAGAAACATGAATTACTGCATATGCATGAAATTTACTTTGTCTAACTATGCCTTCTGACAAGGTGTTTATGGTCTTATTTCCACAACTCACTCATATTATAAAAGCACTAAGGAAATGTCTCTTTAAAAGGAAATCAACTAGTGGTAAAGCTTATTAAATAAAAGCTTTTTGAAAATACAAGTTATAAAGCATTTCTGGTTATTTGTCTATTAATCTATTATTCTCTTAAAAACAATAATACTCCACTTTTCCATAGGTCTGATTTCTAATACTATAACCCTTTGGGGAAATGTCTAGGAACTGAGGAAGCAAAGGGTCTTTTAATAGTTAAAATGACCATCACAATGTCCTAGCTCTTCTCTGCATAGAAAAGGCTTTTAGGGATAAGTTCTATTAACTCTTACTTCAGGTACAATTTTGATAAGCAAAGTAACATTTCTTAACCAACATAAGATTAAAAGCAGAAAATTAGTAAGGTATAATAAGTTATAAACGCTAGAATCTTGATAGCAGTGGGAAAAAATTAACTGATTCCCTAACAGAAGCAAAACAACTGACAACAAGAAAAGAAATGCATCCAAAAATGGAGGGAAGAGGGAATGAGGAGTTAATTGTTCAATGGGTACAGAGTTCATGCTTGTGATGATGATAAAGTTCTGGAAATGGATAGTGGTGATGGTTGCACAACACTGTAAGTGTACTTACTGTCACTGAATTGTACACTTAAAAATAGCTAAAATGGTAAATTTGATGCTATGTATATTTTATTACAATAAAAATAGTAAAACATAAATAAAAGACACGAAGAGAGAATCTTGCTTTGTTTATTGGGCCTCTTATCTCCATTTTGTGGCCCTTATTATACTTTTCCCTAAGAACCCAGGGGCTCAGAGGACTGTCTGGTCTGAGGTTAAAACTTCCATCATCTATTCCTGAGGCTTTCTATTCGGGGAGATCACACTATATTCTAGCTCCTCATGAATGTTCCCTTTACAAAGATTATATCCAATCTGACATCCACAAAAGCCAGCCATGTTTGTACAGATTGATTCAGAGCATCAGCCAGGCACATCAAATATTCCAATTTTAGCCTTTTTAGGTTAAAAGGTACACCTTGCTTGGCTCCCTCTTCTGATCTATTTCTACTAAATATATATTTTTAACATCAATTATCAGTCTATTTGTTTTTAATAAACGTAGAACAGGAAGCTACAACACAAGAAGATGTAGGCAGAGGGATTTTCTGGGGCCCAAATAAGGAAACAAGAAGCAAGTTTCTCCTATCAGAGGCTAGAGTGCTAAAATGGAGAAAATAAGCACTTTGACAGTAAGCACTTTGATCAGTAAGACATTAGACTAAATCTCCACTTTGCCACTTATCTCTTTTCAACCTCAGTTTCCTGACCATCTTCATCATGGGGTTTTTAGAAATGTAGCACGAGAGAAATCACTTCACACATTCACAAAATAAATTTTCTTCATTGACACCAACAAACCATAGTTTGGATCATCGAAACAGGAACATAAAGGAGTCTCTTGCCGAGAATGCCCATTAGGCATTCTGAGGCCAAACTAAGAATCACATGCTTACTATGAAACCGTGGTATAACCATAGTCCCTTCCTGCAAGGTCATTCTTTTCAGTAGAACCAAGTGACCATGCCAGGATTCCAGGGACGCATGTAATTTTTGCAGGCTGTTCACCTTACAACCATAAGGGGGCACCTTTCATTCATAAACTTCATTGACTCCCATATTTACTGTGACAATTTTCCAGAAGGTGGCACTACACATGTTGAGAGAAAGGTACTATTTTCTAATTTGCATAAAGGTAATCTAGTGGTGGCCAGGGGGCACTGCATAGGTGGCGCTACTACAGAAATAAAAACAGTGCCTGTGGGAATTTAACCTGCTGGTAAAGGTGAGTATGCATGCAGTGCTCATAAACATGACACAGAACTAGGACAACTGATTCTGAAATAGAAAATAATTATTGAACTAATGAAGTAAAAAGAAAACCTAAAATTTTGGCTTACATAAAAGTAATTCTAATGTAGAGCGCTATAAAAGGGATCGTGCAAGATTAGCTCTGACACCAAATACGTAAGATTGACCCTGTTGAGGTTTTGATTTTAACAGAAACCTCTGCATAATATGCAGCTTGATTATGTGCTTGCAAGGTAGATGGCCGGGAGCATCTTGATTCTGCTTTACTCTTTTTTTACCCTAAACCTGAACAGCCTGGTACAGCTGAGTGGCCTGATGCAGATACCCTGCCTTACAGTAGGGGCACCCTCTTGGACCCCGAAGATTTGTCCTTGGCAACAGGAGTCCATGGAAGAGGTTAGAACACTCAGCCTTGGGAACAAGTTTTCCCTGATTAAGCCTGAAGAGACTTCTCATTCTTCTCTCTGAACAGTCCAATGCTATTTCCTTTCCAGTTTCTCTATCTTTCAGATGAAGTAGATAATTCCAACAGTGGAATTATCCAACATCTTTTCCTTACCGAATAGCAACTGTGGAAACAGGATATCCAACATTATATGACACCTGTTGGGAATGTGGACAATAGCATGAATGAATTGCCCTTTGAGACACAAACAATAAATACCTTGGCCCTCCTTCCAATTCCCCACCTGCTCTCCAAGGCATCATTAAAACCCCTTTACTTAAAGATCTGTCCAGAAATATCTAGCCTGCTCCTTCTTCCTCCTTCCCCCACTGGCCACCTCCATGAACTAAAGGATACTCTAAAAGGGGTATCTCAGGTAAACCAAATTTTAGTTTTCCTCTTTCACTTCATTAGTTCTTCGATATCTATCATGCCTTACCAAAGTGGGTGTATTTTCCTCATCGTGGTATTATATACTCACTCTGGAACTGGCAAGTTAAAGACACTGCATGTCACTATCCCACAGGTGGTCCCCCCATGACTCTAGCACAAAATAGAAAGACACCCCATCCTTAAACACATCCATCTGTTGAAGCATCACTAATTTTACTTTACAGATGATAGAACTAAGGCTAAGACACTAACGGCTAATAGACCATGTTCCTTTTTTTTTGCCCAGAACTAACCAGAAAGTTCATACAATATTACATGCAAAGGGGAAAAAAGCGTCTTTGAACACTCAGGCACACTACGTCAGGCTTCATGCAGCCAAATGTTCAAGAACCCACCATGGGTAGAGACTGTGCTAAGCTATCAGCTTTTTTTCTTCAAAAGAATTGTCCTCCTTGGGAAAAAAATCTATTAAACTAAAACTGCCAGTTTATGCAACAATAAAGCTGTAAGATGCAAGGACACCACAAATGTCGAGACATGTTGACAAAACGTGTGTAGGTGCAAACTTGAATCACAAAGTCAGACAAAACCACAACGGTGTGCTCACGGCAAAAAGCAAGGGCTAGTGGTGTTCTTCTAGAAGCTAAGAGAGGTCTCTTTTACGTCCTGTCTTGCTCATGGAGAATGGCTTTAAAATGTCATTTTACAAGCAGTTCAGTTGGTACTATAAGTCTTAAGATTGGGAAATGTAAAGGTTTACCTTCAAGAAAACCTGTGCATAGCTGTAGTATATGAATTTTCCAACCGATGAGAATAAACCACAAAATATTGGCTTTGAAGTTTTGAGGCAGATGGAAGCAGGGTCATATCCAATTGGTATCAATAGATTTTTTTAAGAGACAGAAAGTCTAGAAAAGCCAGTCACTGACCTTTCTGACCCCAGGGAAGGAGGAAGAAGGAGCAGGATTTTTTTTTTTTTGACAAAGAGACAATTTATTAGCATTGTTACGACAATGAGGACAGGGAAGCCAGTGACTGGACAGGTTCCACCCTGGACACCCGTAAATCGTGACAGTTCATCTTTCCAGAAATTAGTAGCTCCTTTGCTTCAAGTTATTTCAGGGAGCCCCTCCAACTGAGTTCACCTGTTTACTGATTCCTGGAGTTACCTCAAAGGGGAAAAAATTAGTTCTCTAGCTTGGTAAGCTCTGATAGACCCATTCACACCAGAAGTCCATGTAAAGTTATTTGCTGCTTCCTTGTTTTCATGGGAATAGGGGTGAAGCAGGGCAGAAAGAAGAGACAAATTAGAACTTAAGATTTTGATTCTTCTGAAGGGCGGCCTAGGTAACATTTGAGCAGGGCAGGCAGAAGCATGTAGTGCTGTTTCATGAATTCTAAGAATCGGCTTTAAAAAAAAGTTTTGGAGTACTGAAGCTTTGTTATGAGGAAGTTCGTATTTCCTAAATAACTGACTCACATCGAGGGGACTCGAAGTCTGGATACTCTAGGCAGGATGTAGATTTTCTACAGGGGGTCTGAAATCTTTTTTTTTCCTAATTAAACTCATGTGGTCTTCTAAAGGTACCTCAGCCACAAATGAGGTTAGTGACTTTGTCCCAAAGTGACAGCTTGGTACATTAAGTCCAGCTGAGACTGGACACTGAACAGTCTCACTCCAAGGCCTAAACTTTAGATGGCTCCTTGGCAAGAAACACTGCTGCCTTTATGTGACACGGATGTAGTCACTAAAGAGCTTACTTCCAGCTCTGATTTCTTTTCAAAAAGGCAGTCAGACATAAGTAGGTCCTTCTACTGACTTAAAAACCCCGCACTCAAGGGTCTAGGAAATGGGCAAATGAAAGGAACTACCACCACCCAGTTCTTAGAGGAATATTAGCTTGTAATTTCTTTAGAACTTGTTATCAAACACTCCATTTTTAACATTCGTCTTCCTGTGTTATTACAAATTCCCCAACAGGCCATTTGAATTCATGTGTATTAATATGTGTTTCCCTGTCATGCAGGCAAAGCAGTTCTAAGAAAGCTACACACAAAGCACATGGAACACACAGCATAAAACTGATCTATTCTGCAGTGAATTTTATTGAATTCCTTCATGAAAAACAAAAAACTCAAGTAGCACAAGCATGCATTGTGAGACAAACAAGTGTCAAGGCCTGCTCAGACCAAACCGGAGCAGACACCAGTTCACACACCAGCCCACATGAAGGAGTTTTTATTCAGTACACACAGACAGCAAAAGCGGCAACAGAATGAGACCATAAATACGCTGGAGCTTTTCTGAGTTCCGGCTATGCTCTGACCAGCCTATCACTTACTTCTTACCAGCCAGGTAAACAAGAGGGCTATCTGCTCATGGAGAAATTTTAAAGCTCTTAATCCAGTTGAAAACAAGTACAATTGAGGACCTTTTTTTCTCGCTAGCTGCTCCCCCACCTCAGAGTTGTCTAACAGATTTCAATGCATCAGGAGGTGTCATCTGGCTGGCCGCCCCATGCACTGCTGAGGCGGACAGGTTAATGTGTTTTGTGCTCAGGCTGCCGGGCCTCTTGGCTGGTTGTGTTCTCTGCATCTCGGGCCTGAGCATTCTGAGACTCGATCAGCTGAGGATAAAAGGGACCTACCAGCCAGTTGAGGGGCGTGTTGTTAACAAGATAATCCATCACATCATCTAAGGACGCCTTCATTTTCTGCAGCTGTTCTTTGCTGGAAGCGAGGAGGCTTTCAGACACTTCCTTAAAGGAGGCAGCATTGTGAAACACTGAGTAGAGGTTGCCAGCCATCACCGCCAAGTGGTTGGCCTGGTCTTGGATGTTCTGTGGTAACCCTCGGAGGTGGGACAGGAGCATGTGGGACGTGGTCTGGAGCTGCTGAGTCAGGTTGCGGGCAATAGCGAGAGTACGTGACTCTATGTCCTGAAAATGAGACAAGTTTAAGAATTAGTAGTGGATCCAACAGTCCTATGTATGAATTAGTCCAACTGCAGTAAGCTGGCTATACGTCCATCACACGTGTAGATTCTTTTACTTTTTAAAATCCTCATAATGACCCTAAGAGCAGCAGTATTATTTCACAGACATGAACATAAACTCAGAGTTTAACAGTTAACAACTGGAAAACGGCTAAGTGGGGATTTGAACTAGTGCCCAAGTCTTCAAAGCTCATGGTCTTAAGCTGAAGAAACCTAACTGGGGAGGAGGGACAGAAGGAAAATACTCTCCATGTAAGTGGGGCAACTTAGATAGTCTCTCCTCAAATAAGATGTGATATGAACAGACAATGAATCTTGATTTCAAAGGCAAATGTGTACCAGCTTTTGGAACCCAAAGAATCTCTTTCTAGGACTACAATATACAATTTCTTCTGCCTGGAACATTCATCTGCTTACTGACCTTTCACCTGGTTTATTCACCACTCAAGTATCAGCTACCACTCATCCCTGCCAGCAAACCGTCTGACTCACCCACCCTCCCTTCAAGGATGAGTTAGTACCCCTCCTGTCCTCATAGTATCCTCATAGCACCTAGATTTATGCTGTCCGAAAAAAAAAGAAAAAAAACCCCACACACTATGACAGTAAAAATGCCTGCATGTGTACCCATTAAAAGGCCAAGGCCCAAACAGATAAACAAGTTTATACTGTATAGCACAGAGAAATATACTCAATATCTTGTAGTAGCTCATGGTGAAAAAGAATATGAAAATGAATATATGTATATTCATATATGACTGAAACATTGTGCTATACACCAGAAATTGACACAACATTGTAAACTGACTATAACTCAAAAAAAAAATTAAAAAGGCCAAGACCCATGTTTCTGTTAGTTGTATCCTGTTAGGGGCAATATGCCTATCTGTAAGTTGTTAGACAAAGTTACTGCACATTTTTGCTTTTCTGTCACATAACAATCTATGTACACTGTATTATTCAAACTTTTGATAGAGAAGAGTATTCTAAGAGGAATAATAATATCCGAAGTCTGGTAAGAACTTCGGAAACTGTAGCGGATGACTCGGTCCCAGGGTCTTACCTCAGCACAGTGGGATTCGTCTGCATCATCATAGCCAGTGCTTCTCTTCCACTCCACCCAGGAGAGGAAGAGCTTATCCTGAGCATCCTGAATTTTCTGGTTGGCACTATGCACATTCTTCCTGGCAAATTCAATCTAGAACACATTGAAAGAAGACAAAGGAACAAACTAGCCAGACATTCATGTTAGCCTGTTCTCAGATCTATGATGCAAATCAGATAACATAAACTCTCACAGAAATTCTTGGTATTTGAGACCTATCCCCAATTATCAAGTTAAAATTACAAAAGAGAAGGGAACTCAAACTTCTTCCCTGTTGCCAGCCACCTACTTCCCCTTCCATGAATAAACTGGTTTCTGATAGCCATACAATACATACTGTTCTGTAACTTGGCAATCCTTAATGGCTACATAGTCGTCTTTTGTGCCGTATCAATTTAATCAGTCCCTTATTAGTGGGTGTGCATTGTTTACACTCTTTTGCAACTCTCAAGAATTATCTGTAGGGTAAGTTTCCAGAAGTAAAGCTGCTCCAGGCAGAGGTGTTTGTAACTTTTCTAGAACAGTCCCTTTAATCCCTCAGAAGAGTGCAACACAGGTGTACCTCTTTCTCTACACCATTGCCCAAGTGTCAAACTTTGCCAATACCACTAGACAAGACAGACATGCGTAATTTGACCCCTCAGAGTAAGATTAACATCACTTCGTATTTTTCAACTATGTATACTTCCTTTTCTATGACTTGTCTGTATACTCTTTGCCCATTTTTCTATTGGATTATTTATATGCTAAGATTAAAATTCTTGGATTTGATTGATGATTGGATGATTACAGTTACTCCCAATATTCGAGATAAATGAAATCACTTCAGGTTCCTTTATTTTTTTTTTGTATTCTGTATTCTATATTCTGTATTCTGTATTCTATATTCTACATTCTGTATTCTGAATTCTGTATTCTATATTCTACATTCTGTATTCTGTATTCTATATTCTGTATTCTGTATTCTATATTCTGAATTCTGAATTCTGTATTCTGTATTCTATATTCTACATTCTGTATTCTGTATTCTATATTCTGTATTCTGTATTCTATATTCTGAATTCTGTATTCTGTATTCTATATTCTGTATTCTGTATTCTGTATTCTACATTCTGTATTCTGCATTCTATATTCTGTATTCTAATTCAACATTCTGTATTCTATATTCTATATTCTGTATTCTGTAATCTATATTCTGTATTCTGTATTCTATATTCTACATTCTGTATTCTGTATTCTATATTCTACATTCTGTATTCTGTATTCTGAATTCTGTATTCTATATTCTACATTCTGTATTCTGTATTCTGAATTCTGTATTCTATATTCTACATTCTGTATTCTGTATTCTATATTCTGTATTCTGTATTCTACATTCTGTATTCTATATTCTGTATTCTGTATTCTACATTCTGTATTCTATATTCTGTATTCTGTATTCTGAATTCTGAATTCTGTATTCTGTATTCTATATTCTACATTCTCTATTCTATATTCTGTATTCTGTATTCTATATTCTGAATTCTGTATTCTGTATTCTGTATTCTATATTCTGTATTCTGTATTCTATATTCTACATTCTGTATTCTGCATTCTATATTCTGTATTCTAATTCAACATTCTGTATTCTATATTCTGTATTCTGTAATCTATATTCTGTATTCTGTATTCTATATTCTATAGTCTACATTCTGTATTCTGTATTCTATATTCTGCATTCTATATTCTACATTCTGTATTCTGTATTCTGAATTCTGTATTCTATATTCTACATTCTGTATTCTGTATTCTATATTCTGTATTCTGTATTCTATATTCTGAATTCTGTATTCTATATTCTGAATTCTGTATTCTATATTCTACATTCTGTATTCTGTATTCTATATTCTACATTCTGAATTCTGTATTCTTTATTCTGTATTCTGTATTCTGAATTCTGTATTCTATATTCTGTATTCTGTATTCTATATTCTGAATTCTGTATTCTATATTCTACATTCTGTATTCTGTATTCTGTATTCTATATTCTACATTCTGCATTCTGTATTCTACATTCTGCATTCTGTATTCTGTATTCTATATTCTGTATTCTGTATTCTGTGTTCTGTACTCTATATTCTGTATTCTGTGTTCTGTATTCTATGTTCTGTGTTCGGTATTCTATATTCTATATTCTGGATTCTATATTCTATATTCTGGATTCTGTACTGTATATTCTGTGTTCTATATTCTGTATTCTATATTCTATATTCTGTGTTCTGGATTCCATGTTCTATACTCTGGGTTCTGTATTCTGTATAATAATTCTAAATTCTGTATTCTATATTCTACATTGTGTATTCTGTATTCTATGTTCTATATTTGGTATTCTGTATTCTATATTCTCAATTCTATATTCTATATTCTGTATTCTGTGTTCTGTATTATAGGTTTTGTGTCAGGTTCCTTTAAATGAAGTTATACTCACCAGGTTGACAGTGGAATGGAGCTGGGAAATGACCTCTTGGCTTTTTTGCTTAGCTTCTTTAACCCTGCTGAGGGCCTGCTGGTAGGCCCGAGAGCGGAGTTTGGTAGACAGGTATCCCAGTCTAATATAATAACTTGGTTTCTGAACCATATCAAATCCTTCCACTTTTTTGGCTTCTTTTTCTGAAGTTATAAAGAAGGGACAAAAAAAAAAGTCAGGGATCACAGCTGTCAGTGACAAGGCCTGGACTCTAACCTAGATCTTGATTTTGCTGATTCCACCCACCCATCTAACAATTATGCACGTCTTTTTCCAAGACAGCGCTTGTCTGCTGCTGGGCTTGGCAACCCAGAACAACACATCACTGAATCTGACACATGTCATCTACACAGGTCTCTTCCCAATAGAGCTCCTTTGGAGTTACAGTAAACACTAAATGATTCACGATGCTATACAGCAGCCCATTAAAGGCAATCTATTTATAGAAAATATTTCTATAGGCTAATTTCTCCTAAAATTTCAAAACTTACTATGAACAACTCCATGCCTTAAGAAGGAAAACTATTAAGACAGAAAGATTAGTGGTTGCTCAGGAGGTTGAGGATCAGGGAGGGGGTGGAAAATGGGTGATGGAGATGGCCTGCAAACAGGCATGAAGGATCTTTTATCTTTTGGGGTAACAGAAATGTTCTAAAACTGGATTCTAGTGATGGTTGGGCAACTGTAAATTTAGAATGAAAACAGGTGACTTTCTTGGCATATAAAATATATTTCAATGAAGCTGTTTAGAAAGATTGCTTTAAAATATAAGATATTATTTCAAGATGAAAATCCAATTACCTAGTTCTTCCTGGGTGAGAGGGAGGTACTGGTCTACCAGGAGCTCTGATTTGGTGAGCGCATTTTCTACTCCACTGTTCACCAGCTGCATCACCCGACTTCCCAGGACTGTGTTGATACTGTCATTGACCACAGACTTGGTTTTCTCCACACTGCCTGTCACTGCTCCTTTGGTCTTGTCCACCACCCCAGTGATCGTGCTGGCCAAGGAATCCTTGGCCCCGGACACAGAAGTCGTCACAGCATCTTTCGCCCCAGTCATAGCACCTTTGGCACTGGCAACAACCTACAAGGAAAAAAGCAAATCACCTGGCCAGTAAGAAATATGGGCATAAATTTACTGTCTTAACTAAGGTAGCATAATTTAAGAGTTCAAGAATGAATCGGCCCTTTCACTTTCTAGTTGTAGGTCTCGGACAAGTTGCTGAGTTGATGAGCTTCAATTTCCTTCTTATGTATAAATGCCCTACCTGCCACCACTTAAAGGTAGCTGTAGATGAGGAAAACAGATATAAAATTTGTCAATTTGTCAAGTTTTTTTTTCTTTTTAAACTAGATGAATCTGAGATCAGGTACAAAGGGTACTCTAAGAATGGCATTTTCCATGTTGACATGCTTGTACTGAGCCCCTCATGTATGCCTATATGCACAGACTTAGGTACCATGCACACCTGGGCTGATGCACACAACCTCAGAAGGCCAACATACAAGCAGAGATGTCAGTTATCCATCATACAAGATGAGCTCTCAGATGCCAAGCCAAAAAAGGCCCTATTTACTATCTCTGCATTTATCCAATACCACACAGCTATCGGTTATTTAAGAAACCAATTTCACTTGCAGAGATGAAGCCACAAATTAAGAGAGATCAGACTAAAGGTATTCTAAACCAAAGGTGGACAATTCATCTCTCCTTCTTAAGATATAACCTGACAACAGTTCAGGAAGGGCGATTACTCTTTCAACACTACATCACAGGTTGAGGGAACACGTTAAGTACTACCTGTTTATGGCTTGCCCAGACAGCCTGTGGTAAACAGATAAAACTTAAAAACATGAGGTGGCAAGCCTCAGCACTCTTGTTCCAAGCTCACCTGTTTTGTTGGCTGATTCAGAATAGGCAGTTTCTCCTCAATCCTGTCCAGCCCCTTGCAGGCATAGGTATTGGCAACAGCAACTAGAAGAATCACAAATGGTGAAAGTGTTAACAGTCTGGGTAAGAGTGAGTATGTCTTATTATACCCTGAACCTTTACTTTTATAAAAACAAAACAAAACAAAAAACCCAGCAAAAATATTGATCTTCATATACCACACAATGCATTATCTGGTTTCTCTCTTTCAGACAGAAGATTCTTGCTCGGTTTCTGGCAACTTTCTTCTACTAACAGGGAAATAAAAGTGTGGAGGAAGAGCAAACAGAGGCAGTGACAGGCCAAGCAGGAAGCTGGTCAAGAAGCTTCTTCCTCATCCTTGTTCCCTCAACTAAGGTTAATGCCAAGAAAAGCCAGGCTTCACCTGAACCTTCATTCAGGGAATGAAGTACCTGAAAACTCAAAATTAGCATTTGCATCGTAGTTTAATACCTACCTACGCTTAATTCAGTAGGGTTATCACCAGGAAACCGTACACTAATAGCACCCTGGATCTCCCTAACAAGACCCATATTTCAGTCCTAGCTCCCCCAACTTTCCAAGGATGACCAAACCTAGCACTAGTAGTACTAAATTCATTTGGGAAGTAGCAGAGTTGGAAAACTTATTTCTAAAACGTTCCCTTTAATCCTAAAAGTCCATGACATACCATTTGGGGGAATGATTTAAACCTTTATTCAAAAGTAGTTCATAATGTGGAGAAATTGGAGGTTCTACTCCTACGTATACCCAAGAGAATTGAGAACACATGTCCATACAAAAACTTATATACAAATGTTCACAGTAGCATTCATTATTCAGAACAGCCAAAAAGTAAAAGCAACTCAAACACCCATAATGAATTAATGAATAAAATGACATATCCACACAATAGAATATTATTCCATGTTAAATAGTAATTATGCTACAACTTGAATGAACCTTCAAAACATTAAGTGAAACAAGCCAGTCATAAAAAAACACATATTTTATGATTCCACTTATTTTAAATGTCCAGAATATGATACCTATGAAGACAGAAAATAGATTAGTAGTTGCCTAAGGGGGAGGGAGATGGGGAGTCATTGTCAGTGAGTATAAGGATTATTTCTTTTTTTAATTATTCTAAAATATACATAACAAATCTCACCATTTTAATTATTTTCAAGTGTACAATTCACTGCCATTAACTTCATTCACAATATTGTGCAATCATTACCACTATCATTTCCAGGACTTTTCCATCATCCCAAAGAGAAACTGGTATGAGGTTTCTTTGCTGGGTCATGAAAATGTAAAATCGATCATGGTGATGCCTGTGCAATTCTGAATATGCTAAAAATTAATGAATTGTACACTTTAAGTGGGTGAACTGTATGTTGATGTTAAAAAAAAAAAGGCATTCATGTGTACTGTGTAGTCCCAAGAAGTCAGCTATTTCAGTTCACTCACTGGCTCCCCGTGTGATCTCAGCTGCCAATATAGAAGCATCTCTGAGGGATTTTTTTTTCATACAACATCTGCCACTGTTATGAAGTAGGCCTTCTGTAACAATGAAGGTCACCTGGCAGTTACTCAGTAAAGGCAGGATGTCCCTCGGGAATGGCTGAGGATTCCCTGATGTGGTTGCTTAAGGCCAAATGCTGGCATTCACCACATTCAGGCTAGCTTCGGGCTTCCTCTTGATGAGTACCTGGGGGCTTCATTTTGGAGGGGAAACCAGAACTCACGTTGTGGCTCCAGCTTTTGGATGATAGGCAGAGCACTCGTCATAGCCACCGAGGTGATGGTCTTCACGCCCTTCTCTGCCATCTCACACACAGACTTCAAGCAGGGATACTGATCCTTTGTACTGACGTAAGCCGTGGAGACAAGGTCATAAGCGGAGCTCACCAAGGGCAAGTTGGCCACCCTTGTCACCACATTCTACAACGGAAGAGGGAGGTGTTAATTTCCAAAACACATGGGGACAGAAAGGAAACAAAATACAGCTGTTTAAAAATCATACCGGTTTTGGTGCCATTTTTCTGCCTGAAGAGACGAAATCTGCAGAAGAGAAACTTATTTCAGGACACCGGGGTAAGATGCTCCCAGATTCATTCCCCAACCCAAGCAAATGCTAATTCAAGTTGAATGAATGAATGAGTGAGTGAGTGAATGAATGAATAAATGTGAAGTAAGTGTTGTCCAAAGTTCTTCCCACCGTCCAGCTCTCAGAGCTCTGCTCTGGGCAAACCCGTCCTGAAGCAGGATTTCAGAGCTCATATGTAAGCTTTCACTATTAAACAGGCTTCACAAAGAAAAACAAAGCTGTTGATATATTTATCTTGTTTTTCCACCAGGACAATGGAGATGCCTTTTGAAGAGCAATACCTGTCCTCAAAAATGCTAACGAAGTTAAAATCCGTATTAAAATTAAAGAGGTATTTCAAGTAGAAGACAGCTTGGACAGTCAAGATGGACTGCTTGATCCTTGTTAAAGGACTGAGGCTAGTTCAGGGGACACCAAGCACAGGAGGAACTACCCCAAGGAATTGAGATACTTTTCAGGGCGCTTTTAAATGTAAATTTAGTGTCCCCAACGACCCACACCCACACAAAACTGCTTCACCGCTAAGCAGCGGAGCTGGGAAGGAAAGAACCCGCCCAGCCCGCTGTCCACCACTCCCCGGCAAATCAGTTCACCCTGAGGCCGCCACCAAGGTTCCCAGTTTTACCAGAAAAGAGGAAGAATCACGCTTAAGGCGGGAAGTCACGCGCCAGTATCAACAGCTCGGCTGTCACTGCCTACCCCACAGAAACTATTCTTTAAGACGGTTTTCTAACGCGTTTCCTTTTAAATAATGTCCTTTCGGGACAAATGGAAACTGTTACCCCGCAACCAAGCCAAGAAGCTACAACCGCATCAAAGCAGCGGGCGGACGAGAAGTCGCAACGAACAAAAAAGC